CATTTAGCTACTGAGCTAACCAGTTAATTGTTTTTTAGTTGTTTTTTTTTCTTACCATAACCTCTCTATGGGATCTGAGTTTACCAAGTCAGTTCTGCCTTCAAATCTTGATTGATACTTACAGAGAGCTCTGGGATCCTTAGGTGAAGTAATATAAGAGAATGATAACATTTCTGTAATACGACTTCTTTGCATTATCCTTTATGCAAGAAGGAAGATGAAATCAATGTAGCTTCATTTTTATTTATACATCTGAGCTAGTGAAATTTCATTTGAAAACATTTCACTTTCCATCAAACGCAAAATATATATAATAAAAAAAAGCACCATTTGCAGCTGCTTTTGTTCAGTAGCTGGATCTAATCCTTTTACAGAATTTAATAATGTGCTTTCTGAAATGGAAGTAAGTGGCAATTTTCTTAATGCAGTTAGCACCATATTTAATATTATAATAATACTGATTTATAATCTTCTCATGTCTCCGTTATATTTTTCAGTGTTGAATAATAGTTTCTTCTAATGTTTGTTGGAATGAATATGAGGACAAATAAGCTTAAAGGTGTTAGAAGGTGAAGTTTCTGAATATAGATGTTATGATCTGTAATTACTTGCCAAGAATCTTTCAATGGCTGCTAAATGGAGAATGAAATTCAGCTCTATCTCTATGTCATTACAAGGTAGGGATAAGTTTATAAAGCATTGAGTGAGATGCTAATTAGCTCTTCTAGAACTAAGGAAGAATGAAACGGCTGAAATCCTATGGGAGGTATTTTCATCTCTAATCAGGCATCTTAATGGTTTTGTGCATGTTGTATCAAATCTATCTTTCTTTGCAGTGGAGTTAACTGGTCTTGATTCTGCCCAGCAATTATTTAAAGAATAAAGAGTTATTATGGAAGTTCTTGGACTGATGAGCTTATAATTACTTGTGATAGTGTGGTGAGGCCACATGAAGTACTAGGACTTGAATTATTCATTGAAGGATCACTTAATACACAAAAATCAACTTCCTTCAATAACTGATATTTCATTACATATTCCTGTTATACTATGAGCTGTGGAAGAATGCCATAGACACACTAAATTAAATTAACCAGGCAATGGAGTAAAATAGCATATAAAAATGTCAAATTGAGGGAAAGAGAGATAGTGTAAAGACATCAAAATAATGAAGTTTAGATGAATTATACTTAAAATCCCAACAGACCTTCACAATTTTTCAGAAATCATTTTGGGACTTACTAAGGTTCTATCAACCTCGATGCCAAATAATATGTATATATATTTATATATAGATTCCACTTGGTAGACTGGGAGAACAGTTTCAGTATGTGAAGATAATTTTCTAATGCCAGTACCAGTCAGAATAATGCTAGTAAGGTCTGTCCATTGGTGGTTAGATTTGTCTCCAGCTATACATTTTCAGTGACTTTGGAATGACTCCATCTCTAACAGTATTTAGTAATTACGATGGTGGAAGTCTGGCTCTTTTAGCTTTTGTAGGTCAAGAGGGACTTTGCTAACAGGTGAAGTTGCTCTAGGTGCACAAATAAATTTTGTGTGCCATCTGCTGGACTCTGTTAGCAGTGCAATCTTGACTTGTAGATCCTTTAATTATATTTGTACCTCGCTAAAGTTATCAATATCTGATGAAATGATAGATGAATATGAATAGCATAATATCATCTCACCTTAGGAAAGCAGTAGTTTTATTTAAGTGTGGCTAGTTGTTCACAAAATATACTTCTGCAAAGGTAAGTTCTTTTTTTTAACCCACTGATGCATTGTAATTTTATTATTTCTGGATTGGTGTAGCATTGTTGAGATCTTGTTTTTTACATTATAAGGTTCAAGTTCCGTGTTTGAAAACACTGGACTTATAAAAGCAGGCTT